CTGGAGAGATGGCTTTGTGGCTAAGCATGTTTGCTGCTCTTACAGAGGACCTGAGTTCAGTTCCCAGAATTCATACTGGTTGGCTCAAAGTTGCCGATATTCATTGAGCACTCGTCTGGCGTCTGTAGGAACCTGAACACATTTGGCATGCAAATACATATACATAAATAAAAATCAATCAAACAAAAAAAGACAGATGAGGGCTAGAGACAGGGCTCATGCAGTAACAGACCTGACAACCTGAGATTGAGCTCCAGGATCCACATAAAAGTGGAGGGAGTGGACTCTGCCTATAAACCTGTCCTCTGATGTCTACACGTGCTCCATATCATGTGCACGGCCCAACATCATACATGCATACAATAACAATAAATACAACTTAAAATATGACGGGTGAAATATAAGGAATAGGACCTTTTAACATGAAAAGTGCCAAGGCAGGACTTGATTTTTCTACTTTACTTTAAAAATGTAATGATAGATCAACTACACACGGCTGGAGAGGTGGCCCAGTAGTTAAGTGCACTTGCTGCTCTTGCAGAGGACGCGGGTTAGGTTCTGAGCGCCCACATGGCAGCTGACAACTGTCTGTGGCTCCAGTTCCAAAGCATCTGATGCCCCTTCTAAGCTCTGCAGACAGCAGAAACACACATGGTACACAGACATGCATGCAGACAAAACACTCGTACATATAAAATAAAATAAATATTTTTAAAACCTATTATGTAATAAATATTAAAACACAAAATAAATATTCATGAAATGTATTTTTGTTCTAATTCTGTATAAAATCACTTATTCCAAAGTCTGTAGAAACTATTTTCATATTTGTATTTGTAAAGACTAAAGTATGTTACATCAACAGTCAAACTAAGGTCCTAAAAGGAAAAACACTCCTTACCCAGCATTTTATTCTTCCAAGAATATAATCTACTTTTATTTCTTTCTTTTATTTTTTATTTTATTTTATTGAGATAGGGTTTCTCTGTGTAGCCTTGGCTGTCCTAGACTTACTTTGTAGACCAGGCTGTCCTCAAACTCACAGATTTCCCCCTGCCTCTGCCTCCCCAAGTAGAGATTACTAATTTTAATTCTCTGGAAAACTAGACACACTAATTAATGCCAAATATGAGGAGGTATTCACTAACACTAAAATTTTTCTAAAGTTTAAATAAGGAAAACACACACATTCACTGTACATTTTATGATTATTGTTTCCTCTGTAATCACTTATTCTATTGTTTGTTAAGTTAAAAAAAAAAACAGATTATTTTAACTTAAGAATGTGTAGCTATCAGCCCTCTGTCAGATTTGGGTTGGTGAAGATCTTGGTATTGAAGGAGATATTGAGATTCATGGCCAAACTTTGGGCAGAGTGCTGGAATCATTATGGAAGAAGAAGGAGATAGAAAGACCTGGAAGTGACAGGAACTCCACAGGGGAGCAATAGAGCCAAAATACCTGAGCCCAGGGGTTCTGCAGAGACTGATACTCCAACTAAGGACCATGCACGGAGAGGACCTAGACCCCCTGTTCAAAGGAAGCCAATTGGCTACTCAGTTTCCAAGTGGGTAACCTAGTAAGGGGTACAGGGGCTGTCTCTGACATTAACTCAGTGGCTTGCTCTTTGATCACCTCCCCCTGGGGGAGTGCAGCTTTACCAGGCCACAGAGGAAGATGATGCAGCCAGCCTTGATAAGACCTGATAAGCTAGGGTCAGATAGAAGGGGAAGGTCCTCCCTATCAGGGGACTAGGGAAAAGGCATAGGGGGAGAAGAGAAAGGATGGGTGGGACTGGGAGGAGACGAGGGAGGGAGCTACAGAGAGAATACAAGGTGAATAAATTGTAATAAATAAATATATAAATTAAATTAAATTAAAAAGAAGGTGTGGCACTGGGCTGCAGAGATGGCTCAGCACTAGAACTGTAGCTGGTCTTCCAGGGGCACTTGGGTTCCCAGCACCCACACAGTAACTATAGTCCAGAGGATCTGATGCACTCTTATGGCTGCCATGGGCACCAGGCACACATGTGGTGCACAGACATACATGTAGGCAATGCGTTCATACACATAAAATTAAAAGGAAATTTTTAATTGTGGCATATTTTGCCTCACTATAGAAAATACATAAAGCTACTTTATGTATTCATGCTTTTTATTACAAACTTGGAGCAATGTAAGAACAAATATCAGAATATAAGTATATGTTCTTAGCACTTTTATGAACACTGACACGCACTAAAAGTGGTAAACCCCACATCAGTCCTCATGTGGTATGTCACTGTGAAAACAAAGACAATTGAAAATATAGAAATTTACCCGTGGTTTACGTCTGTAGACCGTGTATCTGAAACAATTTTCATGATTAGACTTGGGACTCATTACTAAGACAACTGAGCATATAAAGTCTATGTGAATATTTCAAAACCTCGAAAACTAAAAAAGGTGAAGATCTACAGTACTAAGCATCTCAAATATAAAAAGAATATTACATATGTATGTAATATATATGTATATACATATATGTTATTGCTACTATTTCTTCTACTATGTATTGCTTAAGCCTTAAAATATACTAACATCTGTGTAATGATTTAATCTTCATACCTGCCTTGTGAGACAGACACTTGTATCTACATTTAGCAAGTGGGAAAATTAGGTAATATACCAAGAGTTAAAAAAAAATTTCCAAGGACATACACACAGATAAGAGTTGTTCTAACTCAGGCTCTTCAAAGCAAGACAGAGAGCTGATGTTGTACATAGGTCAATGTTAGGGCACCTGCCTGACATTTAGGAAGTTCTAGAGCATTCCGAACTCCAGTCCAAAGAAAGAAAGAAACAGAGTTATTGGTCAACACTTTAATAAATAAACCTGTCATACAAACACACATACACAAAGGAACGCTATTTAGCCTTTAAAAGGGAGACCCTGCCACTTACAATACGGAGGATGTCAAAGTGAAATAAATCACAAACAGAGAAAAAGGCTATGTAACTTTACCTATATGAAAAACCTGAAAAAGTCAAATATAGGGAAGCAAAGAAGAGACTCCCTAGAAGATAACCAGGGATGAAGACTCAGAGCTCATGTGCCGGCACTGGTCAGAGGACACAAAGATTCAGTCAGCTAGGATGGGTCAAGTCTACAGATACAGCCAACACCACGACTGTAGCTTATACTCCACTGCATATCAGAGACTCATTAAGACTAGATTTCAAGTGTTCTTAAACATACACAAAGACACGTAAACCATGTGAGACGAATATGGTAATTAGACTAACTTCATTAATAATTTCAGCATAGACAAAGGTACCAAAACATCATCTGTATATATATATATATATATATATATATATATATATATATATATATATACAGTTTTATATAAAAAAAATCAGTCATGTGGGCAGTCTGATTACAGTATCCATTCCCTTTGTGTGTGCACGTATATGTTGTATATTTTGTGTGTGGTGTATGCACGTGAATGTGCAGGTGTGTGTAGTGAGTTTGTGGATTCCAGAACTGAATGTAGGGAGGTATTTTCCTCTATGGCTTATTGCCTTGAGACAGTGTCTCTCACTGCACCGGAAACTTGCCACTTTGGCTGGGCTGGCTGGCCAGTTAGCTCTCAGAATCCTCCTGTCTCCACCTCTCAATGCTGGAATTACAGACACAAGCAGCCATAACCAGCTTTTTTTTATCTAGTTCCTCATGTTTGCAGAGCAAATGCTTGGACCCATTTCTCCAGATCACCAGAGTCCATTCTTTGAACAAATAGAAAACCAAACCTCTAGCCAGGCATAGTGGCACACACCTGTATTCCCAATGCCTTAAGAAGCTGAGGTAGGACTTCAAGAACCCACGAGTTCAAGGCCATCCTGAGCAACAAGATCAATCCTCTCAAATACTTTTTGAAGTCCAAGCCAACCTCTTACTTATCTCATGATCTTCCTGCATCAGCCTCCCAAGAGTTTGTACAATAGCCAAGAAACCATGTTGTGTTTTAAGTATAAGATAAGGAGCTAGAGAGACAGCTCAGCTGCTCTTGAAGAAGCACTGAGCTCAGGTCTCAGCACCTACAATAAGCAGCTAACAACTGCCTATAATTCCAGTCCTAGGGGATCACATACTGAGATCTACTTTCCCCTGATCATTCCCAACTCCAATACAAACAAATCTTAAAAATATAAAATAATAAAATAAAATAAGAAAAGAAAAAAAAAAGTAAAAGATAAGACAGACAGATTATGTCTTGTAGTATGTGCCTGGGAGGATGAGGCAAAAGAACATTCGTTAGGGACAAGCCTGAGCTATATACTACATTTAAGAGAGCCTGGGTTAGCAAAAAAATATAAATAATAAAAACAAAAATATAAAAACATAAGGATAAAGCTGGAGAGATGGCTCAGTGATTAAGAGCACTGGCTGCTCTTCCAGAGGCCTCAGGTTCAATTCCCAGCACATCATGGCTCACAACCATCCGCAACTCCAGTTTCAGGGGCTCTGATGCCCTCTTCCTGAGTTCGATCTTGGGAACCCACACCATAGAATGAGAGAACCTCCACGTGCTTGAAGCAGCGTATGTGTGCACTCACGCAATAAGCAGACAGGTAGATACAGATAATGTCTTTAAGTAGGAGCAATGGAAGAAGACACCTGGCATTGACCTCTAGCAACCACATGAGCACACGTGTACACACACACACAGAGAAAAAACTGTAAAAAAAGTTTTGGAAAACAACAAACATCAAAACAAAAAACAGAAAAAAAAAAAGAAGAAGATATATTTCACTCACTTTACACACAGGAAACTGAGACACAGAGAGGAAAGGGTTCACCATCACAAACATTAGTGAGCACAAATGCGGTGGCACTGTTAGGGCTTTGATCTCTTGTACTACTCAAAACATGCCGTTCTTTCTCTACTTTCAAAAACAGATTTAGAAAACTCCCTATTTTCCATCTTTAAACTGAGCGACGGCAGAAATACGTACATTTTGGAAAGAGGAACTTGTCTTTCCTACCGGAGACTCAGACTTTACTCTCTTTTCCGAAGCAACTTGTGCATCCACATGGTGAATGTCCTTTTCCAAGCAATGACGTTTTCTCATCTATGAATGCAGAACCAGAGGAAGAACAGCTTGACTGTGGGTTCTTTCACATTCCCTCTTCTAACTCTGAAAACCTATTTCTACTCAGTAATAATAAAATCTTAAAAACCAAAAAAAAAAAAAGAGAGAGAAGAGACCTCATAACACCATTTATGGCAAAGAGAAGACATAGTAACAACTCTTGGGTTTTAATCGAGTATTAATGTATAAAAATTACAGTGTGACAATGATCTCCCTGTAAAATAAGTCATATCATGTAGACATTAAATACAGCATTATAGCAAAGCCCAAGCACATACCTAATTAGAAAATACATTAATAATTAAGCCACATTCTAGATTCCAGCTTAATTTATAACTGGCACTCTTACAAAAATAAGCTAGTTTATACTTCTAAAAACAAGATTTAATTCTAGAAATTGTTGGTAAACATTTAAACTGTGTAGAATGAGAACACACAATTTACATATATCCACCTGAAAGTATCCAGTTGTTTATACACAAATGACATGTTAATTAATAATCCCTCCTTTTTATTCATAACTAAATGTTAGGAAGGATAAATAAATAAATACAAACCAGGGAGTAAAAAAGTATATTTCATATGAAGAATCTGGTAATTCCCGTCTTTAAATAAATTTTAGAAATACACATGTGTTATGTTGATCCTAAAAACTCAGTAAGAGCCGGGCATGTGGGCGCTGCATGCTTGAAACCTCAGCTACGCAGAAAGCCAAGGAAGGATCACAAGTCTACAACCAGGCCGGGCAACTCCGCAAGATCCTGTCTCAAAATAAATTTAAAAAGTGGCGGCAATGTAAGCTCCCTGGGAGGAGATGCTCAGTGTGCTGGAGGACCTGGGTTTAATTCCTAAACATGCGCATGCACAGATAACAAAAACACCACTGAGCAACATGAACGCAAAAAGTCAGAGGCAACTTTATCATTATACTGAAACTATCAATACCAAAAAATATATAATGTGAAAATTCCTATCAGAGGTATCTGAACCAAAAGAAAATGTCTTTATTAGGTAAAAAGTAACAAAGGGTTTAAAAAGTACAATAACAGGGCTGGAGACATGGCTTAGCAGTTAAGAGCACTTGATCTTGCAGAGGACACTATTTCAGTTCCTAGCACCCACATGGTGGTTCACAAAACTCCAGTTCCAGGGGATTTGGTGACCTCTTCTGACCTCTGCTGGCACCAGGCACACATGTGGTGTGCACATACACACATGCACGCAAAACATTCACACATGTAAAATAAAATGAGAATGTTAGTACGATACTCTTCAACAGCAGAGATACTCAAACTGTAAGAGTATACAATAACATGGCGCCTCTACAAGGATGGCACAAAGAGTCACGAAGCATTCCGCATCTTTAACACTCTCTGACATGTAAGATCTAGCTCAACAACAAGAACAACAAAAAATCAGACGTGAGAGAAGAAATAGCTGTTATGGAAAAGACCACCAGCAGGGTGGGGAGAATGAAAGAGTGTCGCCATGCTCAAAACACAAAAGCGTCATCATGAAAACTACCATCTTATATAATGAATCATATTAGTAATTTTGAAAACTTATAATTCTGAAAAACTGTAAAGTTGCTATTTGTTTAGGGTACGCCTGAAGTAAACACTTTACTATCAGACTCTTCGTACAGAGGAAAACACCAGGCAGTTGCTCTGATTACGTGGACAAGCGGCTACACTAACTTCCTTTGTGGCAGGAGACAATAAAATGGAAATGGCTGGTTACTTTATAGCCATATACACAGTTAACTATTCCGTACCACCAACTTCATACTCAGTTGTATCTAACTGTGGAACCAGATTATTTTAAACGCCGATAAACTGCTTACCTGCTGTGCAGTCTCTAAGGGTCGGATTCTTTTCTTCTCTACCTGAAAATCATCATCTTCATCTCTGTGTGTGGATGCCTGTTTCTTGGCAGATAACTTTGCAGCCAGAGTAGTTTTCGCAGTAGAGTCTCACATAAAAGTTAATTTTACAATAAATATGGTAAATTTATAACAAAATACCACTAAAAACTTATTCTATGTAATTTTTAGGAAAAAAGAGAGTTAAGACATTTCTATAAATTTGATAACATTGTTTAACACCTATGATACCCCCCCCCCCCCCCCACACACACACACACTGGCTGATTGATTGAGACAGGGTCTTACTATCTAGTCCTGGCTGCCTAGAAATCCCTCTGTAGACCAGGCTAGCCTCAAACTCAAAGAAACCCACCTGCTTCTGCCTATGAAATTGAATATATGTGCCAAGACATCCAGCAAGGTATTAAAAAAAACTTTTTAATAATCAATTTGTTTTTACCATAAATACAACAAGCATTTTGAGAAACATACATTCAACAAGAAACACCCAATTAATTTTCCCCACAGACCCATGTGTTGTAGGTTACACTCTATCCCATGGCTTAAGGGCTAGAAGTGGAGCTCAGTCGCTAGAGCAGTTAGCTGGCATATGGGAAGCTTTGGGTTCAATCCCTAATGCAAAAGACGCTGACAAAATATGCAGACCGAGTCTCTCAAGATTCAATAAATGTTATTTCATTTCTATGGAAACCTCAGTGCTTCGTTCTTACTGAGTTTCATCAAGTTCTTTAGGATAAGATCCCTGTTTACAGAGTAAAACCCATGTAATGTCTTGATCTCACAACCCTGAAAGCTTATTCCTCAAACCATCAAAAACCTCTTAACTCCTAAATTATAAAAATTATTCCCATTTCACCAAAGTTAATGGGAATGTTACAAAGTTAATCACTTGCAGAGCTGAAGTTTAACAGAATTGCCATTTCACTTCAAAATTCTTAAGTATGATTTCAATACTGACAAACACAATTTGTTTTCTGGAACACTGGCAAACGCATTTCCTCGGTGTCCACAACACTATTCTTCCACTATCCTAAACTTTAGTTCTTCCCATTTCCTATGCACCTTTTCTTACTTCAAGGTGCCTCCTTCCTCTGTTCCTCCACACATTCTCTCCACTTCTGTGCCTTGAATCCCTTTGCCAGAGTCCACACAATGATCAGATCAAGAAAACCAACCAAAGTGAAGCAGTGCCTTGACTGAAAAGATTTACAGGCTACTCACATGGCAAAAAGATCTACAAGAAGGTCCAACAAGTTTGAGCCTACAGATACAGAATGGAATCGATACCCTCAATCACGGCTCCTTTTTTTTTGGAAGTGTCTCTCACTGAGGGTGTAGTTCACTGTTTGGCTAAACTGACTAACAAGCAAGTTCCAGGGATCCTGTCTTCGTTTCTTCAATGCTGGAGTTAGACGGACACCATTAAACTTGGATTTTCTTTTTTAGACTTGTTTTATTATTTTTAATTGTGTATATTTACATGCGTGTAGGTCCCATAAAGGACAGGAATGCCAGAAACTGAACTCTGGTCTCCTGGAATAGCAGGACTTGCTTTTAACCTCTGAGCCAGCTCTCAGCCCTCACATACAATGTTTAAAAGTGGTTGCAGGGGAGTCAAATTCAGGTCCTCATGCTTGCACAACAAACATTTTAACGTTCTTTCTGGACCCAGAACGGAAAGTTTTTTTTTTTTTTTTAATATAATGATTAATAGTTCACCAATTGGGATCAAAGACCCTTATCTTCCATGACTCAGAAGCCTTTCCCCATAAAAGCCATTCTAAAATAAACAACAACAAAAAACTGTTTTTTTATATGCCATGATTTTTGTTGTCCTGTATTAAGGTTATTCTTTCTTGGAACATGGTAGGTTAATTTTCTAACTATATTGCTGTTTTGGGTACAGTCCCTATCTTTTTTTTAGGGTTTTATTTATTTAAACTTTATGTGTATGAGTGTTTCGCAGTGTCTGTTGTGGCCAGATGAAGGTGTAACATTCCCTTGGACTGGAGTTACAGATGGTTAAGGACCGTTGACAGTACTGGGGTCCAAACCCAGGTTCTCAAATGCCATCTCTCCACCCTGATCTTCTATACTCCACAGATCAGAAATTTGCAAGGAGCTCATCAAAGAGGTTAAATTATTACTATTACGGCACACAACTTAAAAAGAAGTGAGAAATCTCTAAAATATATGAAGAAGGAAAAAAAGGAAGGGTGGGGGAAATCAGAGGGACAACTCCCAGAAATCAGTACAAAAGAAAAACTATTTTAACTGGCAATTGACTAACTAAATATGATACTCTTAGTAACCAATAAACATGTAAAATGTTCATTAATCATGACATACTATCAACTAAACTCCAGGCTGGGGTTGGGGTTGTCCTTAGGTTCAGTCTATAGCACTGTAAAGAAGATAATATAAAACCTCAGTGAGAACACAAAACATGACTGGAAGCATCAAGAGATAAGAGTATTGAATATGGCAACAAAGTGAGTCAGATAAACTTTCTGTTTCCCTTTGCATAAAAAGTTTTATTTAATACTGTGCTGTACTATTAACTATGCAATATTAATATCTGAAAAAAAATTAAGAGGTAACTTAGTTTTAAAATGCTTTATCTTAAAAAAAAAAACTTAAAAAAAGAATCTAACAATCACCAGGGCTTTTAGAAAATAATGGCATCAACAAATGTGTTCAGTTAATAGTTACCACGGACTTTTGATTTGAAAAGAATAAAGTATGCTCACAAAGTGCATTATTGAGGGGCTAGAGAAAAAGGCACAAAAATTGGGAAACTGCTGACATTACCTACCACAGTTAATACAATGTACGTGCTATAATCATTCCATTCCTAAGTATCTATACAATAGAAAATATCTGTTTACACTTATACAAACAAGTATCTTATTAAACAAAAGTGGAAACAAACTCAATTATCTGACAACTGTAAAATAAAGAATATATCCTGGTATATGAATACAAGGAAATAACATACAGAAGAAAGTGAAAGAACAAAAGCAATATATTCTTACCAATACTATATCAAGTAAAAGACAGACCTAAGACTACATATATAAAGAAGAGAAGCTCATCAATGGTGTGAAAAGACAACACAGAGAAAAGACTACGGGGGAAAGAGGTGTAACCCAGAAAAATAGCTCAGTAATTAGAGTGAGAACAACAAAAAGTTCAAGGGTTTTTGAGCAATCAATGTTTGGAAAAAATTATTCATTAGGACACACTACTGAGTTTAAAACACATTCTTTGACATGCAGGAAGCTTGAAGTTCCATCACCAGCAGTAAAAATAAATATAATTCAAAGGGTTTCAGAGAGGCTCAGTGAGTAAGAGTCAATGCACTTGCGGACAAGACCAACGACCTGAGTTCAATCTCTGGAACCCACAGAGTGGAAGGAGAGACTGACACCAACAAGTTGTCCTCTGGCACATGAGTGCTGTGGCACATGCACACAGAGACACAGACACACACACACAGTAAATAATAAAATAATAATAATAATAACAAAATAAATGTAATTAAAAAAAGATTTTCAGAGGGACTGAAACTCCAGTCCCAGGGCCTTTGAGGCCATCAGTCAAACATGGCACACAGACATACATTGCAGACAAAATACTCATTCATATAAAATAAATAAATAAATACATATTTTTTTATTTATTTCAGCTGGTGGCACACACCTTTAATCCTAGCACTCAGGAGGCAGAGACAGGCAGATCTCTGAGTTTGAGGCCAGCCTGGTCTATAGAGTGAGTCCAGGACAGCCAGGGCTATACAGAGAAACCCTGTCTCAAAAAACCATAAATAAAATAAAAATTAAAAAAGAATTTTAAAGGAATCAGGTAGAAATACATAATCATACTAGCTAAATTTATCCTAAGTAAGCTTTATAGTAGTAATAACTAGGGATCCAATTACAGACTCCAGCAGACACACGCAAAATATAATTTACCTCTACAGGGTGATGAGACTCCATTTCTTTCAGAAGACGGTTTGCTTGGACTACTGAAATGAGGTGAAGTGTCCAGGTTTGTATCACTGTACGTAAAATTTTTTGAATGGCATGCGCAACAACATGTCCATGGCACCTCAGTTTTTTTATTCACGCCCTCATCCACCGGCTTTCCTAAAACACAAAACAAAACAAAAACCCCTCTTTTTCACAGTAGACGGGTCCCCCCCGCCCCGCTCCTGCCCTAGCTCCCAGAATAATGAGACTCATGAGACTCAAAATAATTTTACGTAGGCCGCATAGCTAGGCTCTTCTCTGACTAGCTCATAACTTAATCCATTTATATTACTCTATATTCTGCCACGGGGCTAGTTATTTGTAATCAGGTATGATGCATCTGTCCTCCTCACGTCTTGCCAGCTGAGACTCCCCCGCCTAGCTCTAACCCAGAATCCTTTCTGCCTGCCAGATGCCCCACCTATTTCCTGCCCAAGATGCAGACCATCAGATTTATTTCTGACAGGTAAAGTTTCCACCCAGACTCAAGATATTCTCTTAACAATTTACAATATAACTAACGAAATGAATAGTAATCTTCCTTTCATCTAGAGTAAGCGACCGCCACAGTTCACCAAGGATAGGAAGTTTCCCAAGTTATAAGACTAAACTAAGAAAAATAATCTCCCTGAACCTTACCTCCAGTATCAAGTCAGAACAGAAAAGTTATACCTATAGTGTACAGAAATGTTATCAATTTATAAATATGAAAATATAATGACAAAGATTAATAATGTAATTAAAAGTACAACCATTCTTGTATTTACTGATATTGAAAATTTTTTCAAAATGCAGCAAAAAAGGATTGAAACAAAGATGAAAAGTATAGCTTCATTACTGCTATTTCCTTAAAGGAAAAATTTGAAATTTCAGTACCCTGAATAATAAAGGCGAGAATCATCACTGTCCACGTTGCTGGAACTGAAGGTGTGTGCCATTACACCCGGCCCCACATTATACTTCTGTTTCAAATAGAAATTCAGGCCAGGTAGTGGTGTCAGAACTCAGAGGCAGCCTGGTCTACACAGCTAGTTCTAGGACAGCAGGGTTACACAGAGAAATTTTGTCTCAACAAGCAAACAAGTAACAATAACAAAAATCAACTAGAAACATTCTATCACCTACAGATTCTGATATAATCATCAAAATACATTTTAACACATATTGTAGAATATTTGATCCCATTGTGAACCCAAAGATTGTGAACTGGAAAAACCTGTTTCTAGTAATAGAATGGCTCAGCCCTAGAACCCACCTTTAATCCAAGAACTTTCTGTTTGCTGTAAACAAATACATGGTATGGATCAGCCCTAGCACACACCTTTAACACAAGAGCTTTCTGTACACAGGATTAAATAAGGTTAACCCTAGGTCAAGAAGAGCAAGAAACCAGCTGAGAGGAATTAAAAAGAAAGAAGGGACTTTGAGTTGAAGGCTATTTCAGACAGTGGAGAAGAAGGTGCTTTTGACTTTTGGCTTTTTCCTTCTGGGGTGTAAGCTGAGTAGGAAAGGCCTTTGGCTTTTTTCTTCTGGAACTCGAGCTGTGTAGGAAGGTCAGCTGGGTGTTTTCTCTGCCTAGTAGGCCTTCACCCTAGCATCTGGCTCCTGAACCTTCATGTGTAAAATCGAACTACTGGAATTTTCTTTCTTTATACCAACATTCCAACCCAATAAAAAGGTAGTTAAGATACCTAAATATAACTTTTAAAATTACAATATGGGGCTGGAGGGATGGCTTAGCAGTTGAGAGCATTTGCCACTCTCCCAGGGGTTCCCAATTCAGTTCCCAGCACCCACATCACTGCTGACAATTATAACTGCACATAACTCACACACATAACTCCAGTTTTAGATGGTCTCAGGCTTTCATCTGGGCTGCTCAGGCACCAGGCATGCCTGTGGTGCATATGCATGCAAGAAAATATACTCACACACATAAAATAAAACCTTTTACAGAAGATGACAGTGTGTACATTGTGAGTCCACATGACAGACAGATACACAACTCACATAGTTTTAAAAAAGGTCATTATAAACAAGTATGGTCATTCATATGTGTAAGCCCTGCATTCAGGAGGGTTAGGAAGGAGGAGCTTGAGCTGAAAGCCAGCCCAGACTACATAGTAAAACCCTGCCTCATAAAAAAAGAAAAAGGCAACATGAAGACATATTGTATACATGGATAAAAATATCATAATGAAAACCATCATGTATCACTAACATATGCTGATAAAAACAGAAAAAGAAAAACAAATTAAATGGTTTTTGAATATACTAACGACATTGTTTACTCATTTGCAACACAAAAACATTTCTCAGATAACTGTCATTAAATTTTTTAAATTATTAACTAGAAGTGTCGGTTTCCTCCAAAGAATGACACCGATAATAATCAAAATGGACAGTAAAAAGATCTTAAAATGTTTACTTTTTGTTAAGTCTTTATTTACATTTGTCTGTTTTAATATGGGAAAGCCGGAACACACATGTGTGTCGAGAACAGAGGACAATCTGCAGGAGTCAGCTTTCTCCCTCTACCACATGGTTCCAGGGATGGAACTCAGGTCATCAGGACATGTAATAAGCACCTTTACCGCTGAGCCATCTTGCCCACCCCTGGTTACCATGCACTCTCAGTAACACAATATTTCTTTTTCATTATGTTTATTTATGTGTGTCCATGCCACAATGCGCGTGTGGAGGTCAGAGGACAACTTGCAGGAGTCAGTTCTCTCTTTACACCAGGCGGGCTCTAAAGACTGAAATCAAGTCACCAGGCTTAGCGGTCAGGCGTTCACACTGAGCCATCGTGTCAGCCCAAACATGTCCTTTAACAATGCATCTGTACATATATGCACACCTATGATCAGCTTTACATTCTTCTAATGCTTTAGGTAAGGCATACCTATTTGTGTCCCTGAAAAATACTCAGTACTGTATTTCAGATTCGTTATTAAGGTTACAAAGTCTTGGGACTGGAAAGGAGGCTCAGAAGAGTACTCCCTGCCCTTCCCAAGGACCCAAGCTCAGTTTCAAGCACAAATATTGGGAGGCTCACACCACCCTGTCACTCTAGCTCCAGGTCATCTAGCACCCTCTTCTGCCCTCTTACATAAAGCACCCTCTTCCGAAGCTTACATAAAGCCATACATACATAATTGAAAATAAAATAAATTTTTAAGAAAAATTAACGTCTTTCATTAAGTAAATATTAATAGCAATTTTAGCCAGATGTCATACTTAAAAAAAAAAAAAATCATACAGTAGCTCTTATCAGCAAATATATGGAACAATTAAAAGTACATTTTATCTCAAAACTCTAGTTTTTACAAACAGAAACATTAATCCTGTTTATGATTGTAGGACTGACTGAGGGGAAAAGGTGCAGCAGGAGCCAGTACCCCAGTATCTTTGTTATACGGAGGAACATGTTCATTTACTTTCTGGCAGTTCTGAGTACGGAACCCTGGACCTTGCATATCTAGTTAAGTGTTACATGACTGAGCTACCCAGCCAGGGCTAGAGTTTGGTTTTTAAAGACAGATTCCTGCTGTATCCCAGGCTTCCTTCAAACTCCTGACTCTGGGGCCTCAGCTTTCTGGGTGCTAGAGATGCAGGGGGGCACATGCTGAATCCTAGCTAGGTGTGTTTTTTTGCAACAAGGCCTCAATGTGTAACTCTGGTGACATTTAACGTAATGGGACATAACAGAAATTCATACGGGCACTATTACATTAAGCTTCTATTTATCTGGTATTCAAACAAGTAGAACAACTAGAATCTTTCATTTATTTATTTTATCTTTTACTTATTATTTTATTTATTTGCTTATTTATTTAGACCTAGGGTCTTGCTATGTAGCCCAGGCTGGCTTCTAACTCAATGTCCTCCTCTTTAACCTCCCAAGTACTAGGCTTACTAGCACGTACCATTATGCCAGTTTTGCATGTCTTCTTTTTTGGTTTTTTAAGACAGCGTTTCTGTGTAGCCTTGGCTGTCCTGGAACTCTCTCTGTAGACCAGGCTGGCCTCAAACTAACAGTGATCCCCCTACTTCTGCCTCCTGAATGCTGGGATTAAAGGTGTGTGCCACACCGCCCATGTTTATATGTTTTCTTCTTCCTATAGTTCATATTTTAATGTAATGAGAATCAGGTAAGAACATATATTCAAGGATATATTCAAGCAATTAGTATGTGTATCAGCACCATGAGAGCTCCATCTCCTATTAGACACAAATTATCATCTAATTACTTTCAAAAGAACTCCAATTATCTATAAGGTTCATATTATCTTGACCTGTACGATCAAGTAAAAGGACTGAACTGTGTTAATATTATTTAAGAATTAATTCTGATGCATTCAACTTCTTTTGGAGGACTTACAATGTGTTTTTTTGTGCACGTTCACGTGCGTGTGTGCGTGTGTGTTTGTGCCGTTTGGGGAGCAGTGGCTATATAACCTTGGCGGTCCTGAAACTTGCCATGTAGACCAGGTTGGCCTTGAACTTGCAGCAATCCTCTTGCCTTTGGCTCCTGAGTACTGGAGTTATACACGTGCACCATCATGTCTGGCACAAGATTTCTTCACAACTTGGAGAAATGTTTTAACAGAGGTTATTTAAATAAGTTGGAACAACGTTTGACACAGTCTAGATGAGGCGTACTTCATTCTGTTTTCCTCAGGCTCTATCTAGCAGCCTGAAGAGATCCAGGGCTCCTTACCTAGGGCAGGCCGGACTGCTCAGTAAGACTACTCACTTGTCACTGAGCCTGATGACCAGAGTTCAACAGACCAGACCCACATGATGGAAGGAGAGAAGTGATTCTAGCAACTTGTCCTCTGCGCTCCATCCCACAGCACATGTGCCCACACATACAGGTACACACAAAACAAAAACAATAATGTTTTTAAAGAATTACCTACCACTAAAAGATTGTTGCCATGCTAATGCTGAGCAAAGGAGAGCTAGGCTTTTTCCGCTTCCCGTGGGACTCTCCAACAAGCAATGCTGGCTACTATTTAGTCCTCTGACAATCTGTGGACCAAAAAGGTCAGTTTTCAAAAAGAAGAGAACAGCAGATGATTAGTTCATTAGAGCTCTCCCCATAGAACAGAAACACAAACAGAACAGTGCAAAAGAGCCAAAACACACTCCAGGAAACACAGCAACAGCAAGAGGAAGACTACAGAATTTTGTTAAATCTAGACTATCCCTGTACACTTCTGAACAGTCTGCTGGTTTTACAAGCACATCAAGCACAGGAAATTTAAAAAGGAACATATTTAATTAAGCATGAATTGTTCCTATAGAACTGTAGTATGTGCTACGAGGTAGCATAGCATTAGGAACAGCTGTAGCTCTTGCAGAAGACCCAGGTTCGGCTCTTTGCACCATGTGGCTGCTTACAACCACCTGCAACTCCAGTCCCAGGAGAGCCCACACCCTCGGGCACACACGTGGTGTACAGACACACCTGCAGGCAAAACACTCCTACACACAAAAACAATCCAAAAGCACAAACAAGCAAATAGAGAGCTTCAATGTTCCATCACTATGGATATCTATGCGAAAAACTTGGTAACAGACAGCACTAGTAGAAGGACTAATTGTGATAATAACTTGGAATAGAAATTTAAGGTGTGGTAAAAATGAAGGATAAAAATCCAAGTTCCAAAGGAGCCAAAAATGTTTTTCACGTGTTCTTCCTTACATCCTAACCAAATGTACACAGCTTAGAAATTAGCGGTATCACTTTCCTAGAGGTTCAGTGCTCTTCCAAATGAACCCAACAAACACTAGCCGTCACTTTGTACCTGAGAATAGTTACAAATTCGCTGACTTGGAACCATGAGCTACAGCATCTTGATGAGGACTCGACTGCTGTGACATACTTACGGAATTCATCATAGCAAGCTGTGCAGGATAAGCTTTACAGGGAAAGCTAATCTTCACCCCACCAATGGTGTATTCAGATGACACTGAGGACATCCTGCTTTCCACTTCGCTTTAGGTACTTCACTACAACAGAAACAATAAACTCAATATCCAGGGGCTGGAGAGGTGGATTCCCGGCACCCACATCAGACACCTCACACATGCCTGTGACTCCAGCTCCAACAAATCTCACACCTTTATCTGGCTTCTGCAATAACCCAAATTCACCTGGCACACACCCACACACACCCACTAAAAGTATTATAGTTTAAGTATTGAAATAATGTCATTAAAAAAAAAAAGACACCTTGCAATATAACAGAATTCTAATAATAAAAATTGGAATTAATAAGCACATAAAGAAAAGTAATGGAAATAAAAAAAATTCTTAGTCTTATCAATAAATCTCAGGGTCAAGAGCATGTACTGGAGTCTAACCAATCTGGACTCACTCCTACACCATGATGTATTAAGTATGCGACTTTTAGCAAATCATTTAACTTTTCTAAACCTCCATGTGCTCAGGTACAACATAAGAAACCCTTTAGGCCTGCTGTAAAAGTTAAATAGTGTAACAACAAACAGTGCATGGCAGATACAACACAAGTTCCTGTAACATTTTAGATTACACAGAATCACCCTTCAGAAACAATTTCTGAAGCAGCTCTGCTACCCCACAGCCTCACTCTTCTCCCTCTTAGGCTGGACATTCCTGTTTCCCCTTTTCACATTTCTTTTAGAAGAAAGGAGCAGATAAGCAGGCAAGAAGCAGAGGTTGTATCTATAACTTAATCATTTTACTTCTATAGTCTAAAATCCTTAGACTATAAGGATTTAGTCTAAAATCCTTAGACTATAAATCCTAATAATGTCTAATTTAAAAATTATTGTAAGGGGAAAAGTATCTTTCCATCGTGATTCTTTTCATTTTTTTTTTATCATTTTTTTATCATTTTTTCATTTTTTTTAAATCATCTTTTAATTTACTGGGGGAGGGGGACCCGCATGGCAAGGTACGTGTGTGGAAGCCAGAAGACAATGTTCTGGAGTCAGAATAGGGTCTCTCCTCTCACAAAGTGGGTCTCAGGTCTTCAGGCTGGGGTGTGTCTTTATCTCTGAGCCAGCACAGGAATTCTGAAGTCAGGAGATTACAATGGAAAGAAAATGGATCTGAATTCCATTGCTTGCATCACCTAACCTCCCAGACACTTTTATCAACTGAAGAATTTTTGCAAATATGAAAAAATATAGTAAATTCAGTCTGGGAATGGAGATGGTTAAGACAGAATGCTCAACAGATCATGAAGTCAATGAGAACCTTAACCACGGCTCCTGTGCTCCAAAGGAATCACTACTCTTAAAGTATTTTCCAGTTCTAAATATTGTTCTGTGAGACAAGCCCTGCACAAAATCGGGCCAAGAAGAGCAGTCAACATTCCAGCAGGCAGTAGTAATTAGATTCAGTGCGTGGGAGAGGACATTACGAAGGTAGGAGGAGTGCTCGAAGGGGTCCAGGGAGGTTGAAGGGTGTCCTGGGAGAGAGATGATCAAGATGCACATGCGGCCTGAAACTGTCAATAAATAAATAAATAAATAAATAGTCTTAGAAAGAGTATCCGACCCAACACTGATTCTATCTGTAACCCTCTGAGGTTTAGTGTGACCTAACTAACCTCCTAATCTGCAACTCAATACTGTCTCACTGAAATCAGCCTAGGTGGCAATCTGTGCCTACCTCTGAGGCAACACTCCTCTCAAAACGTGGAAGCTTCCCTTGCAGAGCGCGTCAGAGAGAAACAAACTTCCGGACGTGGTGACGCATGCTTTCAGCCCCCCCCCCCCCCCCCAACAATCGGGAGGCAGAAGATGGAGAGCAGCCTGGTCTACCTGGCGAGGTCCAGGCGAGCCGCGGCTGCAGGGTGAGACCCCGTCTCTCTAAGAAAAGAAAAAAGGAACAAATCCACCATCTGTCTCCCGCCGGGCAGCACCGCGGGGCCCGAGAGGCGGCGAGCGACGGGGCGCTGGAGCCCGCTCCCCGGCCCCCGCCCTCCTCCCCACGCGCCTGCTGCCGGCTCCCGGAGGAAAGGAAAGGGCTGGCGTTTGGGAGGGAGCCGCGCGGAGCCTACCTACGAGGAGAGCTCGCGAGCACCGAGGTCTCCCCGGCTGCCGCGGCGCTGCCGAGCCACCGCCACTCCTCCCTCCCGGCTGGGCAGCGCTGCAGCTCCACACAGACGAATTCGCGCCTCCCGCCCCTCGGCTCCCACGCAGCCAATCACGCGTCCAGACCGGAAAAGGAACTGGCCAATCAGCGGGCGAGGCCCACGCTGTTACGCCCAATGGGAGCCTGCGAAATAAGGAAGGCTGCGAAGTACTAGGCGGCACCGGAAGGCCAGCGCCCGCGGCGAGAAGGGCTGGAACAGACGGTGCAGGTTTGCTGGAGGGAAAAGTCTTGGACCACTTTTGGAACGGCTGATCTACCCAGACAGCCAGTTCCCTGGAGGCTGGAAGACTAATTTGCGACTAAAAGGAAACATTATTTTCCTCCGTTGTCTTATCACGCGAGTAAAACTTCCCAAGGTTACAGCACCCAAAAGACAGGGGGAAGAAGCAAACTGCGCCAGAATCGCCACTACAGAGCCAGAGTGAGTCAGGAGGTCACATGGCAGTTTGTACAGTATTCCGTGATACTCAAGGCCTTCTCGGATATTAGGATCTGCGGTGGGTAATCTCTCCAAGATCACATCGACCTAACACTAAAGACACAGGGGTTAACCATGACCTTGACAAGCTAACTTTTTTGTCCATTAGATGTTTTATTATTGTTATCCTTGTCACTGGTAGCCTAAATTTGACTCAGCTAATAGAGACCGCAAAAGGCAAAAGCGTGAGGTAGTTTTCTTCAGCTAATCAGTTTGGAGCGCAAGATTGGTTATTTGCCCTGCTTTTCAGTTATGTTTCTTCCTAAAATGATGGCATCTGTAATCATAAGAAATAAATTACCTTTGACCTAGTAAGCTCAGTGCCGGAAACTTATCCCAAAAGCATAATCTAAAAGTGATAATCCCTTAATTAACAAGTGTCTCTTAGTAACACTGAAAAGTTATTAGGTCCTTAGTGTAGTAATGGGTAGAGAGTACTGATTTATCAATTCAATAGATTAGTTAATAAAAAGATAATAAACTGCTTCCAAGAAAACTATATGCCCTGTGAAACTGGGTTTAAAAAAGCAGAGCCAGAGCTGAAGACGCGATCAGTGGTTGAAAGCACTTGCTGCTCTTGTGTAGGGCCTCCCAGTACCATCTGGAACCACACTTCCAAGGGTTCCATAGCCCTCGCTGGCCTCCACTGGCACTGTGCACATATACATATAAAACAAAGTAAATTAAGTAACAAAAAGCAGACTCTAAACTGTGTTAGGAATTCAATAGTATGATATGTCAATAGTATAAAATGTCAAACATAGGCTGAAGAATCATTTATAAAACCCTTCAAATACCTTCAGATTGTTACTTTCCTCTTGTTTTGTGTTGGCCCTGCTGAGCATCAAACACTGAAACACAGGGCTTTATATTTGCTCAGCAAATACTTGACCAATGAGCTACACCCCAACCTTCCTAATTTTTTTTCTTTTTTTGATACACGCTCCTCTCTATGTAGCCCTGGCTGTCCTGGATCTCCCTACATAGACCAGGTTGGCATGTAACTCACAGAAATCCTCTTCCCTGTGCCTCCTAAATGCTGGGATTGAAGGCAGTTGGGACACACAGGGCTAAAAGGAGTTTCTTGTCTTCTTTTTGAAGACTGTTTCTAGCTGCCCTGATCTGTGTAGACCTTCCCTCAGAAGTGCCAGGATGAGAGGTGTGCACCACTTAGCTCAGCACCCTCCCAATTTATATACACATATATATCCATCTCCAGTAGTTAAAGTAACTACTCTCATTTCCCTCGTGTGAATTTCTAAGACTTTCAGCTGGCTCCCATCACTTACTGTCCTTTGGTTTGTGTGGCCTTGCAGAAAAGGATACATTGGAGCCCTGGAACTAGGCAGTACTAGGATTTGTTTTGTTTTGTTTTGTTTTGTTTAGTACTAGGTTTTAAATCTCTCCTGGTACCCTTTTACATTAACATTTGTGGAATGAAACACAAAAACTACAGTTCATTGATAAAGAATGAATGTTTATAAATCAATATTCAAAATAGTTGCACACATCTGTTTTGACTTGAATAAAAAAATCACATTGTGACAAAGTTTATAACCTTAACTTAAGATACATGAATATAAACATTTACTAATATTATTTACACATTTTATTTACAGCATCAACAAATCAAATGAAAAACAGCCTATGTTATTATTTTAACACAGTATGTTATCACCAGTCTTTGAAAATGGATCCACGAAATGTATACTGCATTTCATTACAAAACATACTTTAAACAATTTCTGAATTGTGTTCTACTATTCACACAAAATATTCCAGAAAGGCCTCATTTAAAAACAAAACAGGAGCAGTTGTATTTAATGTTAAGAGACTACAAAACTGCCTCATTTAAAAATATGAAAAATCTTATGGTAAATCTTTAAAGCATATCTTTTACTCTTCACATCAAAATTACTTAATTGAACATTAAGCATCTAATAAAAAGGTATGTATACTCCATCATGCATGATACTGTGCACTTCATGATTGGAAACAGCTATAAACTTGTGATAGAACACCATCATGAGGTAGGGTCAGGAGTAACAAAGAAGGAAAATGAGATGCGGCTATGTGGTAGTGGGAAGGATGACACTAAGTTCCTTTTTATAAAAGAACAGAAACTTTCCTTTTAGTTTTCTACCTTCTTCACCGAGTTCTGCTTTGAGTGGGGTGGCAAATGACTGAGGTATTTCTCAGAGAGCAAAGAAGTACCTTCCACACTGGCTACTTGATTTTAAAAATGATTATGGTCATCTGAATGCATCTGCCTAACTGTGCAGTTCCTAACAGAAGACTACAAACTTCAGCAACACAGTATTTCCCACATTATAATTTTTCCTGAGGTTCAAACAC